GCTTTCATAGCGTTCGCAAGCACTGGACTTAATTGTGCGTGTGTTCATAATTTTGTCCCTTTTGAACGCCCATACAAAGATGAACAGTCTCGGATAAAAACATTGTCTATTCTTATGACAAAGTAGACTGTTTTTTACTGAGAAAGTTCTCAATGTTTGTGATTAATATTTCATGGTTTCAATTTGCTCGTATATCAATATATATATATATATATATATAATGAGCCATGCCGCTTATATACGCATTGCGCACATATATATATATATATATATATATATATATATATATATATATATATATATATATATATATATATATATATATATATATATATATATATATATGGCTAGTAAATTTGAATCTTTGCTGCCTGTTGGAAATAATACACTTTTAAAGCTTTATACCTTCTGGTTTAAGGTTTTTAATCTTTTTCTTTGTCTCGGCTTGTTTTGTGATCAGTTTATAACTATCCGACTAATAACATTTTGTGCAACGCAATTAAGTCATGCAGTTAACAACCGGCCCCAGAGTAGCAAGGTAAGTCTTGCAGCTATTCTGAAACAGAATTATATTGTAAATTTTGCTTGAAAGTCCGCATTCAAAATCAACAACAATGCAATTAATTTTAAAACAGCCTATTTAATCGGCTTTAGCAGACCGTGTTTAGGAAAGCAAATATACGTGGGATAACGGTGCTTTATATATTTGCCGCGAGAATATATCCAACATGTTGGCAGATGACGTCGTCTTATGGGTATATAAGAAGGCATGTTTAATACGACTTCAGATTACTCCTGATAGACCCTAGAGCGGAGAGTCAAATTTGAAACGTTTGGTCGTGACTGCAGTTCAACTGCTTGGGTTTGCATTGATTTATTTTTTTATAGCGTAACAAGCGAAAAAATTATTGACATTCCTTGTTGCCGTACGCGCGTAAATTGACACGTAGGCTATCATTTACTGTATCTGTCAGGTTAAACTCAAATTTCTCAAAGTGCGGATTTAGCTCGCCCATTCGAGAAGCTAAAATTTTACACAAGTTAGAATGAATGCGTTAGGTGGGAGTCGACTTGTAGCAAGTCCAAACGTATATAAAATTCACATGAATAAAATTTGTTTCAAATTTGAATAGACAACATGATTAAATTCAATTTGAAAACTAATACAACTCTATGCTTCTATAATACAAGTCACTGAGTTCTCATAATTCATATGATAAAATTAATAAAGTAACCAACCATGCACATACTGTACTTTGCATTCTTAGGTTTCATTAATTTATAGGCGTCCTCCCAATTTTCTAACTATAATATTCTTTAAACGCCTTAAGAATACATGCACGCATAGATACGGGCATCGGTGCGGAATACCGTTCCTGCATGTCTTCATACGGATTTCTGCAGCTCAATTTAAGAAGCAGTCTCCATTTGTTCCACCGTGTAAGTTTCAGACTAAGTTGCTTTCCGTCATGAAATTTAAGATACAGCTTTCTTGTATCACTGTCTAAAATAATTTCAATTGTAATAAGATTTGAATAGTACCATGGACGATTGCTGGTTTCAAAAGGCATTTTAATTCCATTGTCACAGCAATCCATTCTCCAGCCATAAAAATTCTGTCCAGGATAACAAAATGTAGTACGCCTGGCATGTTCAGGAGTAACTTCGGATGGCACGACGCCCACCCAAATGTATCCTGCAGGTCCTAAACTTTCCATGTATTTTACTTCCATTTCTAACTTCAACCGCATTATCCCCCCTTCGTAACAATTGTTACCGAATATAAATTCGTTTTGAGGTTCTGAGTAGACTGGATTTGTGTAGCCCCTGGGGTTTTTCTTTGTCTGTGATTTCGAACGATATGCCGCCACAGTTCCATTTTCTTCCAGTGTAAAACCCGGACTATGTTCTTTAAATGACTCTGACTCCGGAGGTAACATTTCACAACCGAGTCCAAGATATTCGATGAGCTCATAGAAATTATTGACTTCATCTAAATCAACTTTGGGCAATTTTGCGGGTCTTCCAGTAATTGCAATTGCTTTTGCACGAAGATAATCTAATATAAAACCAAAATATTTTGGATTAAAATCAAGAAAAAATCGACCGTCCTTATCACGCATCATGTTTCCTTTCCAACGACCGCCAAACATTAATGCAAGTAAAGAGCCCTCGACTTGACACAGTGTTGTTCTTCTCGTGGCCATTGTTTCTCCACCAACATTCAATTCAATTATATCATCATTTTCCATATTTCTTATCTCTAAACTTTCAGAGCGGTTTTAAATTGTCGACTACGGATGCTTTCTCTTTCACAATTCACCCAAATTCCTCGCTGGTTTACTGTCCTATCGATTCGTTAGCCTTTCAAATTACAGTTGAGTTGCTCAAAATTAAATCCACCTTCTGCTTCCTTTTATGATTCAAACGACAAACGTTCGATTCAGCAGATAATTCTGAACACAATCGATCGATCTTGTTGTTCTGTAATAAGGCTGACGTAATGATGCACGAACAATATATACCGTCACTGGCATCTAAGGACCGATCTGTCGCAGATAAAAACATTGTTCATTCTCGTGACAAAGTTGAATGTTTTTACTGAGAAGGTTCAATGCTTCTGATGATCATTTGATGCGTGGTTTCAATTTGCTCGGCCAATCATCCAATTGGAGCTGATTAACCGTGTCAGATGCTCTTGAAAAAAACATTGAGGATTCTCACGATCATTAGTAGGCAATGTGTTTATCTGCGACTGTCCATCGTTAGTTGCAAGCGACGGTATTCATTTCCAGGAAGTCGAATTCTTGGAAGAAAGGAAAAATAGATCCACCTGGCGTATCAAGGTCACAAATCGTATATGGCTAGTAAATTCTAATAAATCCTTGCTGCCCGTTGGAAATAATACACTTTTAAAGCTTTATACCTTTTGGTTTATAGTTTTAAATGTCTTTCTTTGTCTCGGCTTGTTTTGAAACTGCAGAGCAGCAAAGGAAGACTTGCAGCTATTCTGAATCAGAATTATATGTAGTATATTTTGCTTGAATTTCCGCATTCAAAAGCCAGAAAAAACGCAATATATTTAAATAGACTGTTTTGATCGGTTTTAGCAGAACATGTTTTGGGAAGCAAATACGTGGGATGATGGTGGTTTAGTATATTTGCCACGACAATATTAGCCTGCTCACAGACGTTGTAGTTCTTACGCCAAGCGACGAAATACTACCGTCTGCTTACCCGAGCTGCATATTCAATTCCCTTTGTTTTAGCCGAGCCAATCATCTGGCAGTGTTCAAAAACATTAGAGCCAATTGAAAGCCGCCTTATATATTGAGAGATTAGCTACTGGGAAAAGCCCTTGCACATGCATTGGAATATATTGCTTGGGTTGAAACTTGAAATTTGTTTACTTGCGT